TAACATTAACATTTACAGAACTTATTTGTGAACCTAATTACTAAGCAGTTATTGTGAACCTAGTTGTAAGCGAACAAACAAGTTACAAATATTGCATACACACACATATATACATATACATATGCATATATACATATACATATATACAATGACATATATATACATACATACATACATGTACATCTACTATGCATTTGCATACATACGAATATTTCATATTGAATATTTAGTGCAGAGGCTGAGTGAGAGCCAAGCGCCCTCTGTGACCTTTGCACCATTTCCAAGCTCCTCCCATTCACGATTCTCACGTACAACAATTTGATGCAGGATATTTGCATTTGAACAGGAACAGGAACAGGCTGCAGTCATCAGATGCACGGGTTAGCCGCCAAAATGAGTAACAAAATTTAGAAATTAACAAAAATGGCTCGCACAAGCCAATCACACACACACACAGACACGAACTCAGTAACAGAAACAAATTCACATGCAACAAAGTTTATACATAGTATATATATACACATACATATATTATAAAAAAGATTTATTGAATAAAAAGATAAATGCATTCATAACAAAGGTCTATCTCTCCTATATATATAAGAAACTTAACAACTTTTTGAGATTTTACAGTTATTTTATATGGCTGCAGCTGTCGGCTATGCCACAGACTCTGGCACTGGCTCTGGTTCTGGTTGTGTCTCTGGCACTATCACTGGCAGCGCAAAGTCCTCAATGATGCCTCGAGCTGAACTCAAGATGGTGATATCAGCGCAGTTCTTAAAGTTCTCCTGGGCACCACAGCCCATGGCGCCGCTGCCGTCCTCGCAGATGCCCCAGTTGTTGCCTGAGTCAATGAGACAGATGGAAGATTAAAGGAAGAATTGAAGAGGTAGAGTAGCAGCTATATCTCCATATATGAGGTCTATATCTGTACAACTCTTACCCGCCGTGTAGGTCCAGCGCAGCACGCAATGCTTGCAGCTGAGGCCGTTGGGCAGCCGTACGCTCACATCGTAGCTGCCGGTCTTGGAGCCAATGTAGTACTTGGTGCTGCCATCGGGAAACTGCAGCGGATACTTGTCGAAGCAGCGCTCCGACTCGCCGCCGAACTCGTCCAGGCTGCACAGGTGGAAGCTGAAGTGGCCCAAATGGTTGGCCGTGATCAGCACGTTTATCGTGATGACGCCGCCGCCGATGTAGCTCTTGACTATGACCCCCGCACCGAACTTGCCGCCCAGCTCGTTGGGGCGTGGCGTCGCCAAGCTGTAGTCGTCGCCGCACAGGCCGCAGTTGCCATTGTTTGCGGTTTGTTTCTGCAAAATGGAATCTATAGCTGCCGCTGGAGCAGAGCTGGCGTGCGCTTACCCAAAAGCCGCCGCAGTACAAGGCGCTGTCGTCGTAATTCTTGGGCGCTGAGGAGTCGTAGCGCCAGCGAGAGGATCGACCCACTGGACTCAGCATCATGCCATGTCCCTCCGCTTGCCTCGCCAGGCAACTGACCAGCGCCATCCATACCACAGTGGAAATCATTTTGGGGATTCTCATTTCTTTTCACTTTCAACTTTTCTTTTCACTGGTCTCCGAGGCCCAGTGACCGAGTCTTATATATCTGCACATTTCTAGGCCTTATCGTCTGGGAAGACTTCTGATTCTAATTGGTACACCTGTTATCAACCGTCAAAGCGATCGTATAACCGTTATTGGCCACTTATCGGTGTCTTCTATCGGCTTTTACAATCGCCCAATTTTTGCAGAATCGTAATATCTGGGAACTGGAACCATTCCAAAACAACGATGACACATATAAACAAAACAAATATTTGCGACATGATTTCAC